CTTCATGTAAACACACAGAGGCTAAATGTCTATTTGGGTTCCATTAGCACATGGCTTTTACCTAGTCAGAGCATCAGCAGATGAAATACTCCTTTGAAATTTCTACATCAAAACAGTAAGTATGGAGAACACTCATGACAAGAGAGTTTCTAAGACACTTTGAGGCTGGAGTTCAATTCTTTGGGTAAATAAATGTAATTGACGCAGGATTGATATCCCTTTGCTTCTCTTCCAGTTTCATTCTTACGAGAAGAGGCCTGCATGACAATGGCTAAAAGATATGTAGAATATGAACCTTTGGAGCCAAACCTCATGAGCTTCTGTTGGACACCCTACTGACAGTTAGAATTTGTGCCAACTGTGGTTTTATTTCTCATCTTGCAGGTCTCAAGCTCTACCTTCCCTAGAGTGCATCTTGCATGTGTTACCCAAAATTCATATCTGATTAGTCCATTATACCACTTAGAAATAGCATATGAAAATTACTTTTCAGCCTAGAAAACCCCAGTCTCATGCAGACACATGATGTTATTACTTATTACTCTGCATATTGAATCTAGTCAGTTTGGACATTTTGTATGTGATGAGATTGACATCATTTCAAAACATGCTGCATTATTTATTTTGGCTGAATTACTCTTGCTGTGGTGATCTTAACTTCATTATGGTCAACCTGTTTTAACTCCATCAAAATGATTTTGAGTACAAGTCTGCTTATAATGTCTGCTATGTTTCTAATTCAAATGTGCTAAGAAAAACAGCAATTAGTCAATTCAGTATAAGCAAAAGTGGGATAAGAAGAGAACACAAATTTGAAATGTTCTATTTATACAATGCTTATGTTTCTAAAATATAAGAGATTAGACTGCACAATTTGAAGTAAAAAATGTGCTGTTTGGACTAAGGTTTTGAAGTAGAGAGTGGGCAGCAGTTCAGTTGCATATTGAGGTGAGAGAGAAAAACAAATGAGTCACACATCTAGTGTGTTCTGCAGGAGGGACAACCAACCCAGGTGGAAGTTCTGGCTGCAAATACCAATCTGAATATGTCTGAAGTTTTGAATGAGAGATACGTGAAATCTAACCACACAGGATAGAAAATCTAATTCTGCAACAGAAATACTGCAACACCACATATGGTAACTGGTTCTCTGCAAGGCAAACATTCTCATTTAAATCGTGTATATTCTGTCAGTGGTCCCCATAGCTCTTACAAATTCCTAACACAAGTTTTCTTTAGTTATCACAGAACTAGGCCTACCTAGTGTAAATTCCATTTTAGGATGGTTAGTTCAACCATGTACTGGACATTTCAATGCTTAGTCCAGTGCTGCCAAGCCCACATGGAGAACAAGCATTGAGAAGAGGTATAGAGGCAGACTGCTATGCCTATATCCATCTCTCTAACAAGTGAGCTTTTTATTGCAAAGGTCCACCTTTGGCTAATATACTTTAAAAGGAAGATTCTAGTCATTCTTACATAGTTCCAGTAGTCATTAGGTCCAAACAGTTGAGGTTAAATTTGGTCCTTATGGTATGCCAGGAAAACATTACAGCAGTTCCACTTTATGCCACTTAGTCACTACAGTGGTCAAGGTGCCATGAAAGACTTGAGAACAGCTAGAATGCACCAGTGCTTTGACCATTAGGTGCTCTTATTTACACACATCTTGTGTTAAAGGTTGAGACCTCCAGATGTTTCCCATGCAGACCTGAGACAGGTTTCTGCTTTCTAATTTAATAATTAATTCAGAGCTAATTCACTATAGAACTTGGATTAAGCACACTTCCAAGATGCAATAGATTTAGATAACACAAAGTTTATCCTGTGCTCTGCTTGCCTTGTGCACAATTGCTCCTCCACATATTGGGTAAATGACAGAACCTGATGTTCCAGTTCTTCTTGGCACTTGCACAGTACTCTTGCAACATCTTTGAACTTCCCATTAGGAGTTGGGACAGTTTCTGGCTCAACCGACAGCTTTCAACTGACTTTGAAAGTTTTCTGTGCTTGCTGCCAGCATCATCTCAGTGGAGCATCAAGTTTCAAAGACTAAAAAAGACTAACTAGTATTACCCTGCTATTCCCCTTGCCATTTTGGGTTGCTTTCCCAACACTTTCTTTTTATTTTTTTAATAATTTTTTCAGGGTAGTCACAAAGCCAGCATGTTACAACTAGGCACACTAAAACCACAATAATCTAAACTAAGCTTTCATCACCTAGAATGTGTCAGAATAGCAGCAAACACTCCCTTTATGTCCTTAATCTCCAACACTATCATCCCCCTTCTGTGTGTGTGGTTGGAGAAGGCAGGGGAGAAGTAAATGACCCTCAGGAACTTCTTCCACCTGTTCCCACATTTCTCTGCCTACCATACACATATGTCCGACACAGCAACACAATTAAGAAGGCAGCAAGTACCACCATGCCTTCACAGTTATGTGCCGCTTCCCAATGCCATTCTCCTCTTCTCAGTTGATACCAGGTCAATAGAAGCTCTGACTGTGTATGTCATACTTGACAAAGCAAAAATGAAGAAGCCAGAGGAAGAACTATTAGAGCAAAGAGGACAGAAAAATAACTGGCACTGGCTACATCTGTGATCAGAAAAAAATTAAATTCATAGCCACACTAAGACCTATTTTTCAGTTTCTGGAGTGACCAGAGAACTACAGCAGATAGCTGGAATTCCAGTGTTGACCCAGGGGAACTGAACTGGGGATTCAAAGCAGCATGTGAGAAATGAGTGGGTTGGTGAGGAAGATCCAGGATAAGAGTGGTTTAGAAATACTGTGCAAATGGATAATATGGGGGGAATACAAAATTTGAAACATACAGACCAGGAATTCTTATAGGGCACTATCTCAATAGCTTTCATCAGGTCCTTAATTTCAGAGATATTTTTCCTCTCCCCTTTCTTTCTGTCATAAACTGCCATTGTGAAGGACTTAAGCCCTTTACCTCCCTCACTTTATTACTGTCAGAAGTAAAGCAGCCTTAAGTGATTAGCAGCAGAGGCACTGTGTTGAAACAATGAAACTGCTGAGCAATAGGGATAGGCTCACTATTATGAGTGACCCAGCACTATGATAATCCAGACCAGGAACTCTGAATCCACTGCCAGAAGAATTACCAGTTAGTGTGCTATTAACTTCACTGCATTTCATGCTGGAAACAATTTATCCAGTGTTTCACAAATCAATTTCTTAGTCTCCCAATGGTACATATATATGTCAAATACTGAAACTCGGAATCTGATGAGAGCAGAGATATGACTCAATCTGCTGCCCACCAAGACAACTCATGTGGCCCACTCTTCTGGGGGCAATTTGGGGCTGCATACCAGACACATTTTTTGAGGCTGGTAGTAGCAGCCATCTCCCAAGAGTCCAAGACTCCAGCATGACACAATGGCCACAGAAGTATTAAACAGTGAAGACAAGAGTCTTCATGCAGCTAAAAGCAAAAGACATATTTATTGTCTCCCTTGACTTTTCAGATAGATTCAAACCATATATTTCTCTTCATTGTGTAGAGATTGGAATTTGACAAGTATATCATTAAGTTCAGAAACTCAGGGAGATTAACTACTATTCATTGCAAGCAGTATGAAAGTGAAGTTCACTGATTTTAACTATCCACTACTGTAAAATTGAAAGCTACTGTTTGCCTGTACTTAACAACAGCCACAAGGTTTTTGCTATCAACTATTTCATCAGCTGTTGCCCCAGGTTTCTCTCACCCAACCACGGTGAAGACTTGTGAGTGAAAGCCAAGGGGTGCTTCCATTGTGTTGTCCAAGATGACCATCAGAGACACTCCAGAGTTCTGCAGGTCCACAGAAACCATTCTCAAACATTGCCTTTAACAGCTACCTCACTTCCCAAGCAGTCTTCTTTCCAGTTGCCCCTCTTCTCCACTAACTTTTAGACAGTTACTCAGGTCCTGCACAGCTACACACAGTGACTTACTCATCTCCCCACACCCAGGTGTATCTGTGGGGAGAGTTCAACACTACTCTTTTTCTTCTTGGCATTTATCTCTCCCCACCAGTCTTTGGCTTTTAGGGCCACTCACTTTGGCAAGACTCTTAATGTAGTAATTTCTGCTCTTATTTGAACTTACCCATTATTTCCACTATACTCAGGTTTTACTTTTGCTGCTCCTTTCATTAGCCAAGTATCTGAGCAATTGTTCCTTCCAGCGACAAATTCACCAGTTACAGATATGGAGGCATCAAGCATAATATTTGCGGATGAGACACAAAAGCACAGGATGTGCCCTTTGCCCCATTCCACCTAGGGCAGCGTGGGGCTGAGGAAGCCTGTGTGTGTGGAGGAAGCAACACCAAGCTAACTCCAGCAAGTTCAACCAGGCTTGAAATGTGGTGAGGAAGTACATATTAATACATCCATGTTTATCTTAGGCAAGTCCAATTTGTTGCTAATTTCGTTTAGTCAACGAAAGGGTGCATCTATGTATATAAGTAAAGAGGGTGACAGAGAATGGAGTCAGGCTGTTCTCAGAGGTGCTGAGCACAGGACAGGAGGCAATGGGTGGAAACTGAAGCACAGGAATTTCCACCTGAACGTGAAAACTTTACTGTGCACTGGAACAGGCTGCACAAAGAAGTTATGGAGCCTCCCTTATTGGAGAGATCCAAGAACTGTCTGGACACCCCATGCTCTGGGATGGCTCAGCTTGAACAGGAAGGTTGAACCAGATGACCGGCTGTGGTCCCTTCCAATCTGACCGATTCTGAGAGCCAGTGATTCTCTGATCTTCCCAGTGTAGCCTCGCTCCCTGACGAAGCTCTCCACAGGACACAGCAGGTCGGAGCGACGGCGGCCCGGGGCGCGCAAGGAAGGCCGCGCACGGAGCCCAGAGGCGCCGCTCCCCTGAGGGCAGGCGGGGCCGCGCCGCCCGCAAGGGGGCGCTCTGTGCCGCGCCGGGCCCGCCCTGGCGCGCGTGGGCGGAGAGGCGGAAGCGGCGGCGCGGCCATGGCGGCGGCGGCGGGCGTGGGACAGCAGTGGGTGCTGGTGGAGATGGTCCAGGCCTTCTACGAGGTGAGGCCGGGCAGGCGCCCCGAGCGGAGCGGCCTGAGGGTGGCTTGGGGCGCAGGGAGCGGGGAGGTGTCGCCGGAGCTGCCCCGGGAAGGACGGCGGTGGGCGGTGCTGGGTGGTGAATCGCGAGCTGGGTGCGGGTCGGTGCTGCGGGGTCGGGATGCGCTCGCTGAATAGTGGGTATGTGTGAGTGCGACACGGCTGTATATTGAAAATATACACGCACGTCTTGTTTCTCCAGGTTTATAAAACGACATTTAGGGCGTGTAGCAGAGCATGAAGCCTTAAGGTTCACAGGATTTTACTGGGGTCAAGGTTTGTAACTTAGAAATGTCGTTTGCAAAGGAAGAAACGGCGTTTAAATGTTTGGGCTTGAGTTCCCTCCTGGAAAACATCAGCTGTGCGTGTTTGTACCCAGGCTTTGTTTCGTGATGTTAAAAAGGATGTCCTGATGATAGGCGGTGTTTTTGTGTCCCTTCCTCTGGCAAAGGGTGGTAACTTTTAAAGAATGTATGCAAGATTTGCAGTCCAAATATAGAAGTGCTTAGCTAATGGAGCAGGTAGCACGCTCTAGTGCACTGAATCTAGGATAATTGTAGGCACTGAGAAGCACAGAGACTTCAGTGGGAGTATAATGTGTGTCCTTTAGATGTCATGTCATACATGTTGTGTACGTATTCTTAATATGTTTGGTAAACAGAAACGTACTCTGCAATAGGTAGCATTTGTTATTTGCAGTTTGATATGCCATAGGACTCTTTACTGATTTTAAAAGCTTGCATCCAATTTACTCTAGTTGCTGGATGTAAGGTGAGTTCTGCTTTGTTGGTAGGTCAGATACCTTCAAAAATGTTGATGTGTGGGAGCAATTCCCCTGACTTGAAGAGAGAGTGTGCTCGTTCGTGTGCACTTTTAGTCTCTTAAAAATAATAGACAGGAGCCTTTCTGAAATGTAGTTACTAAACTCATCATCAGTCTTCACATCTACTTCAAACTAGCTGTGCTGCCAGAGCATACTGGTTTTTGTCCCCCAAGCACCGAAAGAGGATAACTTTTAACTTGCATCAACTCTGATTTGCTTTGTGTATTCCCACACTTTGTGTCCACACAAGAGAGTAAAGGACACAAGGACAAAACTATTTGAGCTGACCTAGTTGTTTTAAACCTGATCAAAGTGCCTGTAAAACTGGCAGAAGCTGCCTATAAGAACAGAATTGTCTTTCCTTGTAAATACTGGCTGTCCCTGCTGGTGGACTGTAGGTTACAAAAATGGAGATTTGAAGTGGCTTTGTATGGATGACACAGACTTTCAGGCTCTCAGGATACTTCTCCTTGTTTTGAAGGCTGCCTGTCTTCACAGGTGCTGGCTGGTGCAACCTGTATGTCTCAACAGCCTTTACTCTTGGTATTCAAATTATGTGTATGAACAACAGACTAAATCCATTCAAACTTAAGTTAATAGCTACAAGTAATAGCTTAAAAACATTGCACTTTCATATCGTTAAAAATTTTACTGATTTAGAAATATTTCAGCTGATGATCAGCTTTGGGTTTTATCTGGGTATGCTAGTAGGGACAAAATGGTTGTGTTGTGTCTGCTTCAAATAGAATTCTCTCTAGACTAATTTTTGTACTTTTGTTTTCAGGCTCCAGCTTACCATCTCATTTTAGAAGGAATTCTAATACTATGGATAATCAGGCTTCTTTTCTCCAAGACATATAAGCTTCAAGAACGATCTGATCTAACACTTAAGGTATGATGAAAAAATATTTCTCTTTAGAGAAACAGTTTATAGCAATTGATGTATTAGGTGTTGAACCAATGCTGCATTATAAATGGTCCTGCTTTTTTTTCTTCACTTCCAAGGTTAAGCTTACTTTGGACTTGGGAACTGCTTGTTGCTTAAACGTGTCAGTTTGTGCTTTTAAAGCGGCACTGTGTTTGAGAGTCTGAGAAATAAGAAAACTGATATGACAATGACTGTTAAGCTATGAAAAGCTGTCATAAGCTCTACTCAATGGAGGGCTTTATTTTAAAAATGAAAGAGCTATGTTAAAAACGCCCACCAAGCAAAATGAACTGTAAAATTGTAGATGGTAGGAAAATGCTCAAGCTGTATATGTGGTGTCTATGAGTACCCACTGAGAGTTTACAGTGGGTTCCGCAAAAATTCTACTTTAGCAGCAGTTTTCTTCTTTTGCAATGTCATCCTGAGAAAATAAAAAACTACTTGTGAAGACTGGAATTTCTTCTTGGCTTCTGGCTGTAGACTATCACAAATGAATAAAGTTTGTTTTGAAGATGTCCCTGGACTAGTCTCAGAGTAGTGATATCCCTTATAAATAGGATAAAATACTGAAATTTCTTCATGATACTAAAGAAAGTTTGTGAAAGAAGTTTATGGGTATATGTAATTCCCATCTTTATCATGTGTTTGCATGCTTTTTGATCTTATTCTCACTAATAATGCACATTAAGGATTTGCACTTAGTGTAATTCATCAATGAACAGGATGATGCAAGGACTGTAGGCACAAGTCTATAATTGTGAGCAAAACTGCAGACACTGTCCTCATTTGGGGAGCATTTATTAAACGAGGTTAGAGCGTTCTGGAGAACACTTCACCAGGTATTTATTGAGACAGCCGGCATGGCTTCACCAAGGGCAAGTCCTGCCTGACCAACCTAGTAGCCTTTCTGTGATGGAGTGACTCCATTGGTGAACAAGGGAAGGTGGACAGGTGTCATTTACCTGGACTTGCGTAAAGCCTTTGACATGGTCCCCCTTGACATCCTTCTCTCCAAATTGGAGAGAAATGGATGTGATGGTAGGTGGATATGAAAGCAATTCAACCGTCTCACCCAAAGGGTAGCGGTCATTGTCTCTGAGTCCCAATGGACATCAGTGACAGGTGGTGTCCCTCAGGAATCTGTACTGGAATCACTGTTATTTAATATCTCAATTAATATCTTAATTAATTTAATATCTTAATTAAGGGCTTAGATGATGGGATCAAGTGCACCCTCAGCAATTTTGCACATGACACCAAGCTGAGTGCTATGGCTGACACACTCGAGGGAACAAGACAAAAAAGTGGGTCCATGGGAGTTTCATGAGGTTTAACAAGGCAAAGTGCAAGGTGCTGCACCTGGGTCAGAGCAACCCTTGTATCAGCACAGGCTGGGGGTGAGCAGATGGAGAGCAGCCCTGCCCAGAAGGACTTGGGGGTGCTGGTGGGTGAGAGGCTGGACATGACCCAGCCATGGGCACTCCCAGCCCAGAGAGCCAAACGTGTCCTGGGCTGCATCCAGAGCAGCGTGGGCAGCAGGGCCAGGGAGGGGATTCTGCCCCTCTGCTCTGCTCTCTCCAGGTGAGAGCCCACCTGGAACCCTGCATCCAGCTCTGGGGTCCCAGCACAGGGAGGACATGGATATGTTGGAGTTAGACCAGAGGAGGCCACCAAAATGATGAGAGGGATGAAGCACCTCTATTATGAGAAAATGCTGAGAGAATTATTTGGGATTGATTAGCCTGCAAAAGAGAAGGCTTAGGGGTGACCTAAGTGCAGCCTTCCAGCTCCTGAAGGAAGCCTACAAGAAAGATGGAGGGACACTATTTACAGGAGTGTGTAGTGACAGTACAAGGGGGAATGGCTTCAAAGTGGCAGGTTTAGATTAGATACTAGGAAGGAATTCTTTACTGTGGGCATGGTGAGGCACTGGCACAGATTGCCCAAAGAAGTGTTGGGTGCCCTATCCTTGGAAGGTGCTTAAAGCTGAATTGCATGGGGCTCTGAGCAACCTGGTCTAGTGGAAATTGTCCGTACCAATGGCAAGGATATTGGAATTAGATGGGCTTTATGTCCTTTCCAACCCAAATGCTTCTACGACTGGAGGCAGGAAGTGAACTAAGCAGGAATCAAGAATGGCTGATTCAGTTTTGTGCATGGAAGAGTTTGAATTGATCACAGGATACTTGAAGTTTGCTATCTTTGATAAGAATACATAGGAGGAATGAATGCAAAGGGAGCTCCAGTGTGTTGAAACACTGAGTGCTCATATCATCTAGGAAGACATGCTGCTGCCTTAAAGTAGGCCCAGATTGTCCATCCAGAAACTAGTATAGTTCATCTACTAGAGTTTTTGTGCATCAGATAGTTTTAATTTTTAGTATTTTGGAGGATACTTTTTTTGGTTTTAAGAGTCATTCTCTCTGGAGCAGAAGGCAGGAAAAGGCTCTTTGCAACTCTTGGATAATTGGTGACCCAAAAAAGATGAAACCTGTCTTTTCCTTACAAAGTAAGAAATTGGCTCATATATCTCTATATGCTTCTTGGATTTTATCATGCAGTTGCAGGTCATCATCTTAATTCATGACTGACCATTTTGCTGAAGCTGAGGAAAGAACGCAGACAAATCTCTAATAGTGCTGTGTGGGGAAGAAAATTGTTCTGTGTCTGTTTAACTGAGGGCAGTAAACAACTGGGAGACGGCGCATGTAGCCAGTCTGGTACAGTGAAAGAAAGGGTTTAGAAAGGTGTCAGGAGGAAAAATGTGGAAATGGCTTAAGCTTAAATAACCTTACTTTTGCAGGATGACATTTATCCATAGTATTATTATTAAAATAGTATTATTCCATTAAAATTCTCTGTCAGGACAGCTGTTAACAGGCTTTCTGAAAAATAGAAGCATGCAAATATGTTATTGTTGTGATAATTTTGTTGAGATTTATAAAAACTTTTCTGAGGTTAAAGGGTGAAAAGGAATGTGAATACTAATAAAATGCAACCGGACATCAAGAATTACCTTGTATATAGACTAGATACATTGATTCACTCTGCAGATTACAGACGCAAAAAGTTACAGAGTGCCGGTGACCGGTATTGCAGTGAAGGGTTTGACTGTTAGACACCACTGGCTTGTTACCTTTATCTTGACGGCAAAAAAAAAAAAAAAAAAAATAGCATGGGTGAAATGCTCTTTGTTCTGATCCTGTGTTCAAGCTGGCTAGCCCTGAAGACAGTGCAAGTTAGAGTAGCTGACTATAACTGATCTTTGAAGATGGAAGTAGTGGTTGCTTTAGGAAGAACTGTATTTGGAAGGGAAAGTCTTGTTTACAGGTTCACTGAAGGTAAGCATAAATGCAGCAGTGTGAATAGTGTGAATACATCTTCTACAGTTGGAGGAGTTAAGCAAACTGATACATCAGAGTCGCAGAATGATTCCATTTCTCCGTCCACAGTGTAGATAATTCTTGTGAAGAGAGCTCATGTATTTTGTGTAGGGGAATAGCTGTGAACACAGAGAGAGACAGGCCTTCTCCTTAAATGTCATGAAAAATCTGCACCTAACTGGCACTAAATCTGCACTAGTCTGTGTTGTGGATTAACCCCAGTGGGCCTGAATGCTGCTCACAGAACAAAGGAAAAGCAAGAAAACTTGTGAGTGAATGTAGAATTATTTAGTAAGCAAAGGAAAGCGTAAGAAGACAGAAAACAAGACAAGTAATGTCACACTCACCACCTCCAATGGATGGACCAATATCAGACAGTTCCCAAACAAAAGGTGACTAAATTCCTTAAAGCCTCTCTTCTCCTTTTATTGCTGTGTGACATCATACAGTATGAAATCTATTTTTCATTAGTACAAGCCTGATTTTGTTCTTTCACAATCTCTCAGGCATGCACCACTCTATTCACTGTGGGGAGAGAGTGTGGACCGTGCAAAAGCTGTTCAGCAAGAAATACAACTTTAGTGTTTTACCAACATTGTTTTGGCCGCAGCACTGTGTGAGCTGCTATGAAGGAAATTCCCACCATCACAGCCAGACCCAGTCCAGTCTGGTTCATACAATACAGGATCCCATACAGCCAAACTTCTGTGTGTGTGTTCATCTACATGTAGAAACATGCCAGCTGTTCAGCAAGGAGACTGCTACTGGTTTGCTTTCTGTCTTCTTCTAGTTTGAGTCATGCTGTGGTGTCCAGGTCTTTACCACACCAGAAAGAAATACTAGCTTACTCAGGTACAGCCACTGGAGACAGGCCTGCTCAGGTGGTAGAGCACACACTACTTTTGTGTCAGCCATTCATGTAATGGTACTGGAAGTTTCTTTGTGAGTTATTGTTGGGAATGCTGCCAGAGCAAAGCTGGCTCCATGTAATATTAAAGAATACAATTACTGCACAGCCGTCTTAGTGATCTGTTAGGACAAGTCAGTCCTGGGGAACAAGAAGGAAATTATATATTGTGCAACCTAGTGCACTTAGGAGTCATGCTTCTAAAATCATGAAGAAATCCACTCTGAAGGTGGATTCTAGGTTCAGTTAAATGTGTAGCAAGAGTACTGTGAAATCCAGTGCAGAAATCACCTTTCACCTGGCCAACTCTTATGCTTTGGTAATAGTGTTTGTAAGTATTCCTACTGCTTCTTTTAGAAGACATTATTCCCCAAATCTTTAACTAAAAAGATGGAGTGCTTCTTTGATACTGTAAGTTCCTGATAGTTCAGTGTTTTAGGAAACATAAATAAGTCTATGGCTACAGAGAGTGCTAGACATAGATTCTTATGGGCTTTCACACAAAGTAAAATGTATAGAAAGTGACAAAGTGACAATGAGGACTGGAGTGGGCTGTAGAAGTTTGCATGGCAGCATTTAGCTATGTGTGAAAGGAAGGTGCCCTACAGGTCTGTTTGTCTTTCACTCTGCAATAAATGATAATGTTACTGAGCTTTTCTCTCAAAATCTCTGAAGTACTAACTAAGAGTCACATCTTCCCATTTGCAAATAGGAGGAATAGTTTTTTTCTTTGGTTTTAGAATTTCCACTAATAATTGCATTAGTAGTGTGGGATGCATTTTATTTGAGTGATACTGGTCAGGAGGCTGGAAAATTGGAGACAAATGTTTAATATGTGGCTGAGAAATACATTGACCTTGAGAGCTGTTTTGCAGGTACAGCATAGACTAATCAGATGTTGTTCTATAGGGAATAGCAGGAGTAGTCTGCTTTTGTTAAGGTTTTCAGTAATTCTGAGCTGAGACTCCCTAGGTAGGTACAATTTCTCTTATGTATGGGCATACATACATACTTTGAAAGAAAGAAATTTCTAACTGGCATGCCCATTATTTGTGCCAGTTTATCCCATTATGTAACATGAGTCTAGAAATACTGTGAAATTAAAGACTTATTTAAGGACCAGTAAATAAAAAGTTTTATTAATATTTTGATATTAATGTAGATTATGCACGTGTGATATCATTTCAGAACACTAATGCTAGCTAAGAACTATTTTCATAAACAGAATTGCTACCTTTTCTTAAGAATGTGGGTAAACAAGGCAACTTGTTTTAATAATTTGGGTTGAATGTGTTTACACCTTAATATTTTCCGTACCCAAGGTATATAGCAATTAAAAAGTAAAATCCACAGTAGAATGCAACCACCCAAACAATTGTATATGTATCTGTGGGTATCTGTGTGTATTTAGAAAAACAGATTCTAGATGTTTTTATGTGTAAATGTGCACAAACGAATTCAAGATTCTACTACATGTAGGATTAGGCTTCAGAGAGCCAGAAAGTTCAGAGTCCAAGGGATACTGGGGCTGGAAAAGTCATGCCTAGGAGATCACAGCAAGGTACCAACATTGTTGCCTCCACACGATTCTAATATGGGACTCCCATGGAGGTGGGGACTTCAGCCTCTGCACCAAGCTTCCATTATGGTTAGGGCTCAGAGAGCCAGAAAGCCTAAAGCTAAATGTATAAAAAGGTATGTATATTGTAATTTATAAGATATAGTTATAAGCATTTTAGAGATTGTATTTTCATGTTTGTTATGTGTTAGCTATAAAATAAAATATATACAATTTGTAATGTTATGTATATTTTATTTATTGCTTATACAAATTAAAAGTAATTATAAAAGGGCAAGAGGAAAAGTTGGGGGATGAGTTCATGTACACTGCAGTCCAAAAAAGTGGAAACAAAGTTTTGAGTTCATTCTCTTCATCAGGTGAATGTTTTCAGTGCAACAAACTAAGGAGAAATATGCAAATCAAATACATATTGAGGACATTACAATGTGAATTAAAAAGATGGTTTCTCTCTATGTTTGAAAAGTAACTTTTTTTTTTAATATTGGTGTGAAATTTTATCTGTTTAGGAGGTAAAAGATAAAAGTACTCTGATGTTGGGTTACTACATGAAAGTCTGCTTCTGCCATGTCTTTTTGTTGAGAGGAAGATGGTCATGTTTACCCTGAACAGTCAGAAGGGCAGGCCAGTGTAGTGAGGTATTTGGTGAATGGAAGGAGGAAAGGGTTTGCAGTGGCTAGTCTGCAGTGGTGGGTGGCTGGTTTAGATTGAGAGCAGTGCTTATTTTAATCATCAATGTCTCCAGTCCCCTCCTCTGCTAAGAGCTGGTGGAAACAGATGACATAAGATGTGAGTATGCAAATGTTTGTCTATGTCCATGAAAAAGCAAAATGCTGTGTAATGGATGAGGAGAATGAATGTGAGCTAGAATTATTGAAATGGTGTTGTTTGAAAGGACAATTACATTTCTCCTGTATATTCTAAGAGAATATACAGTAGAAGAGAAAAATTAGGATGTTGCCATGTCTCATCTGTGGCTTGTAACCTGTGCTGTTCAGTTTGTGTGCAGCAAAGATTTCAAAGGGAAGAGTGGAGACTTCTTAGAAATGAATGTGAGTGGAGGATAGGAATACTAATTAGGAATTGCTTGTTATCTTTATGTTCATAGATCTTAACTGTAATTGGAATGTGCTAATTTATTGTAGTTGCAGTGTCCATCTATACATACTTTTTTCTTTCCGCTAAACTCCTTGACAAAAGTATTTTAATTGAGCTTGTGTCCTCAGCAGCTAAACTGTTTGATGATATTTTGCACACTTAGCTCAAAAATTTGACTTTAATGAAAAAAGCTAAGTACATGCTTACACACTTTTAATTCTGCTTTCTTTGAAGAAAATGAATTTTATGTTGCCTGCTCTGCCTTAAAGCTGTTAAAATGTTCTGTGTTCTCTGTTTTCAGAATAAATACCAGGTAGTCCTGAAAGACCTGAAGTCTTTCCCTCTAAAGCATTTGATGTCAAATAAAGCTTTTCTTATTTATTCTTCCATAACTGACAGGCAGGCTGCACCCATTTCTCACCTGATTTATTCTGCTGCCTAATTAAAACAAAACCCAATAAATCTCCCCTGCTAAAACCCCAAACCAAAATGAAGCACAACACCAGCCAACAGCTCCGTGCTCCAAAATGAATGCAAAACTCTTGATTCTAGATACAATATACATTAGGGATTTGGGGCCTTTTGACAAGTACTGCAGGAGCAGAGTGAAGGCTGCATGAGCATATGTCCTGCTTTTTGATTGTTGGAGGTATTTTTGAGCTCTTTTGGAAAGGTATAAGATACTGCTGGACAACTGCAGCACAGGGCGTGTTTTCCCTATAGTATCAGCTAGTCTAGGTTGGGATTGGGACTCTTGTGGGTTCTAGTTTAGGTATATATCCCATCCTGCTTTTGCTGACTTAGTTTTCATCTGGATCTGAATGAGGCTTTTGTCTGTTTTTTTTAGCTGCTTCTGCTAGCACAAGAAACAGGACTGTTTGGATGGGAGAGGACTGCACAGTAGCAGCTGCTGGTTTGCAGTGTGGTGGATTAGCACCCTTAGTGTAAAATTATGTCTTTCAGTTTTTATTTTCCACACAGACAGTAATATGGTACAGAGATGCCCACTAATGTTGTGAGGATGTCATTTTCTTTCTTGGGCTATGGTTGTGGTTCCACTCTAAGATTAACCTGAATTCAGGTACTACTTTGAAAATTAATGTGACCTCAGTATTCCTCCATGGTTAGGTGTAGAATATGTGGTTTAGTAGTTGTTGTTACCTTTTCTTGAGCATTTGACAGTTTTTCTCCAGTGTATCCTTCTCACATATTTGTTACTTTGCTAAATATTTTTATGCTATTATTCTTGAAACAGCACTGTTGAAGACTTGAGAATGTAAATTGAGGCAATCTATATAAAATTTTTATGTAATTCATATTCAGTTACATAAACTGTAGAGGAGTATTTTCATATTTAACAGATTGAATAGAACAGTATTGATTAAAATTTGGCAGGGATGTCTTGTTAGTATCTCATCTCTTGGTTATAGTGTAAGATCTTTAATACACAGACATATCTGGTCTGTGTTTCTTTATATCTTATTCCCTTTCTGATTTCATAATTGTGGGCCTCACATTTAAAGATTCTGAGATTCAGTTTTAAGTGTCTCAGAAAGATGACATGTACTAGCATACATGATTTTTAATACAGTTGTTATCAAGTGTTTATTAATGCATAATGTATTTTCTAGGGGAATCCCTTCTCAAACAGTATTTCTTTTCTCCTGATCAGGAAAAAGAAGAGTTGATTGAAGAATGGCAGCCAGAGCCTCTTGTACCTCCTGTGCCAAAAGATCACCCAGCTCTCAATTACAACATTGTTTCAGGGTAAATGTAACCAAAATAAATTCTGTTTACTTATTTTGACTCAAATACTTGATATTCATATTCAGCAGCATATTGCTCATTAAGCATCTCCATATCCTTAAAACCTTTAATAAATGAATTGCACTTTGAGAGAGCAGGACTGAATTTGCCTCTGAAAAGGTCTTGGCTTTGTAACATTATCAAGAGTATTTACTAAGAAAATCTTTCTTACTTTAAATGTTGTCTTTGGTTTGTTTTTGGTTTTTTTTTTCAATATTGGGGGTAGGAGAAGGAATGTTGTATCTTTGCCTTCATTGTGGTTCTCTATTCTTTGGTATTAATTTGTTTCATATTTCCTGAAAACATAGACTTAGACCTGCAAAGGATACTACTGGATACTACTTTTTTGCATCATCACTAATCACTTTAAAGAAACTCTGTGTATAGCCACTTGGCACTTTTCTTTGCTTTAACCCCAGCCAACAGCAAAACCCCATGCAGCCACTCACTCCCTCATCAGTGGGACTGGGTAGAGAATTTGAAGGGTCATGAATTGAGATGAAGAGTTTTATAGGGAAAGCAAAAGCTATGCAAACAAGCAAAGCTAAACAAGGAATTCATCCAGCACTTCCCATGGGCAGGCAGGTGTTCATGTCCAGGTCAGCAGGGGGGCCCCATCACATATAACAGTTACTTGGGAACACAAATGACATCACTCCAAACGTGCCCTCCTTCCTCCTTCTTTCACTCACTTTATATACTGAGCATGTCATGTGGATGGACCCTTTGGTCAGTTTGGGTCACCTGTCCTGGCTGTGTCTCCTCCCAAACTCCCATACACCTCTAACTTCCTTGCTAGCATGGCAGTATGAAAAGTAGAATAAGCCTTGGCTCTGTGTGTAAGCCCTACTCAGCAATAACAAAGTCATCTCTGTATTATCAACCCTGTGTTCAGCACAAATGCAAAACACAGCCCCATACCAGCAGTCATTGTTAAGAAAATTGACTCCACCCCAAGCCCAGCACACACTTAATGAAAAGCTGTTTTTCTTTGGACAATCAGAATTGGAAATGCTGTATGGTAAAGCTGTTTTGTGAGGAAATTTATGGCTCAGTGTTGCTTTCTTGTGTTACAAGGCTTTTAAAATGTTTGATGACTTAAGCAAGAGTCACATTATTTCAGAAATTGCTTTGAAGCTTCTTTTTACAATCTTCAGATTTGCACATCACTAGCTTTTACTTAGTAATCATTCGTAATGTCCTTCTATTTTCACTAATGATTTGAAATAATTTAGTGTCATAGTGAGGTACATTTTGATGGTTTCACTACCACAGAAAAGTGCCATGGAAAAGTGATGTCTGTTTTAATTAACTGTGATGTGAACAATTCTTCTGTTATTTTTCAGAATTTTGAAACAAGCTGTACTGTAGAGCTAAAGGAAGTGTTGACTGTTTAAAAAAATAGAACAAATATATCTTTTAGAGTTATTCAGAAAATGTTTAAATTATTAGAACTTTCTAGTGCTTATGGCTAGGAAATTTATTGTGACAGAATGTTAATGTGTTGTGACTATTAAACTCAACAGTGGCTGTGGGGAAAACTTGACATTTGTCTTGTAATATTTAAGCTGCCAACTGACTACTTCCCCACAAGTTGCTCAACAGCTGTAGACTGTAGCTTTGACTGTAAACTTAAAACATATTTCAGAGTTAATGCAGGAAGAAAAATGATCCAGATTTCATCTCAAGATGATCAAGAGCATTTCCTCTTTTTTTACCAGTATTTTAGGGAGACCCTATCTATTGAGGTAGTCTTCTTTCAATTCTTTTCATGTCTTAATGTCTATAATGAGTGGTGATTTACAAAAATCCTAATCATAAACCAGTTTATATTTGAAGGAGCCTTTAAAGGTTATCTCATTTCTACTGTTGCCATTTGGACACCTTCCACTAGACCACGTTGCTCCAAGCCCCAACCTGCCTGGTGTTGAACACTTTCAGGGATGGAGCATCCACAGCTTCTCTGGGCAGCCTGTTCTAGTACCTCACAACTCTCATTATCTTTATAATACTGTTTGTTTACGGTAATATTTGGGGATTATAAAAGCTCATAAGCACTACAGAAAAATGAAGTATTTCAGTAAAAATTTTGACTTGCTGTATGTGTGAGGCAGATTTTCTCCTCCCTCAGCAGGCTGTGCATTTTGTACCCTGTGTTCATATTCTCCTTTCTGCATAGTCAAGTAATGTTACCAAATGAAGAGGAAAGCCAAAACCTCAGACATGTCCTAATCAAAAAAGTGATCCATCTTGAACCAGTGCTGAAGAAGGTACCCACAACAGCTTTCAGCGGTTCAGAAATTAGTTACTCCTTGTGGTAGCCTTTCTCAGAACTAATCCATGCGAAATAGCTTAGTTGTATGAGATCTCACTCAGAAAATGTAAATCTGTTTTGTAGAACAATACATCTGAAAATTTTTCATGCTAATTCTTCTTCTGCTTTAAAGTAGAAGTCACATCATCAGTACCTTCATAACTTTGTTTTCTTCTGTGACTGATTTTTTTCAATATATGAAACACTTAAGTGAGAGGCCCAAGAATAGTGGACATGCTCTCAGTCCTTAAAAGACAATTTCTAGAGGAGTAGCTTGCATGTTCTTTGAATATAGCTTGAAATGATATTTTAATTTACTGTTTAGTCTGGATCATTCAGTATCTATAACTGTTGTTCCTAACTATGATACCTAATGCGCTATTACACTAGGGGAAGGGAGATACATGCAAAGATAAAAAATTAAATGGTTCAGGGTTTTCCTTTTCCAAAGACTTACTCTTGTTGTAAGGCAGGGTTTATGATGTGGTCAATATCAATGCTTTATATATTATTATACATTATATAAATTATTCACTGAAATACCCTTTTCCATTTATGTTTTTGTTATTGTTTCTTTAGAAGTTGGGGTAAAATTCTGATAGAAAGGGGTTGCCAAGTTTTCATGAGGGCTACAGCTTTATAACAGCCAAGTTATTGGTGAACATTGGTGTGTTTTCTAGGTTTGAGAGATGGAGCTGTGAGGGAAATTGCTGTAAATTTACCAGATTTGATAGTATGCTGGGAATATACTGAATCTCATGTTAGTGACAAAATGTATATATATGTACAGGTCTGCCCTGGTGAAATCTGTGAAATGAAGTAATTATTTCACTCATTAGGACATACAGACTTTGGTACAGCTCATTGATGAGCTAGACAGAGGAACAGATCCAGGTATATTTTTAATGGCAGTCAGTTCCCTAAGACAGTTTGCTGCACATTTCTATAATGCTACTACTGTGCAGAAGATGCACTGCTGTAATGCAGGACAGCTCCTTTGTGGGGACAGGTTCAGCATTCAAAAGATGAACGTGCACTGTGTGAGTAGAAAGCTTTGTAAAGCTGTGTAGTAAACTTTTGCAATTGTTTGGTTGAAGCAACATGTGCTGAATTTTGTCAAGTGAACAGGTATAACCCAAGATCGTGGAGTTTTTAAAAGCGAAGTTCAAGCAGTTCAGAGTTTTTCTTAACTTGCAGTGAATAGCTTGGACTTAAAAGTTATCTGCTCTGCACACCAAATGTACCCATTGAAATATTGTCAGCCACCAGATTTGGAACAGCTGTGCACAGGCATTTGAGATTGGAGCAGCCCTGTTTAATTTTGCTGAAGAAAATTGCCCAATGCTAGTTTTCCACACAGGAAAAGCATGTGGAAATTACTGTGTCTGAGGAATAGCATAGAATCTCATCTGTTATGTTTGACAGCAGGTATAGAAATGGGCAGACATAGAGTTTTGTATTTGGCTTAGATTTGAGACTTCTTAACACTCCAAGTGATTAATGAAATTTTTTTAACTTACTGTATTGATGTGTATAATTGCCAGAACAGGTTTGCTTATAGAACACAGTACACAGATATGATGCTTTTATTTAAAGGGATTAATATTTTACTTATTCCAATTTTTTTGTTTGTTTTTGTTTACCTAAATCACAATTTTTTTAGGGCAGAAATTTTTTGCCCTTTACTTCATGTATATTATACTCCTGTTCATTTGCTAGTTCATTTGCTAGTAGTGTGTGTTTTCAGACTTTCTCTGTTTCCTGATTACATTAATTACTCAAATCATTCTAGATTAAACTGAATTTAAAACTTGAGATGATAGCTAATACAATAGTTTCACCCACTTACAGCTACTGCCTATATTTCAATAGCCATATCAGTAGAAGATAGGTATTCTGGGGTTGCTTTATGACAAAAACATTGATTTTGAATTAATTTTTCATTTGGAAGTAAGAGCAATGAGATATCCTTTTCATTTTTAGTACTTCTTGAAAATAGATTTCACTTTGCTTTTAGAAGAGAAGTTTTATGTATCTCTTCAGGGGTCACCTTTCTATGAATTAAGTTTTCAACAAGGAATCATTAAATATATCAAGAACTTATTTACAGTTTCTTTATTAAATTACAGGAATATAGGTTTTGTTGGATATTTGTGTCTTGACATTGAACTTAAATACTGTTTGGCAGCTGCAACAGAAGTCGTAGAAAGAGGGAATCTTGAAAAACCTGTGTGCCTTCTATTGTTGAAAACAGAACTCCTCTATTAACTGTTTATGATGTTTATGTCTGTTGGAATTCATATAGGCCTTTCCCTTCCCTCCAAAACTCTTCATTCATAACAATAGGTCTGTAATTTTTTTTTTCAGTCCTCCCACCCATATAATCACTGTTAATGGCAAGGAATGTATAAACTTTGCATCATTTAACTTCCTTGGACTTTTGAATAATGAAAAAGTTAAGGTGAGTTCTTCCTTCCAGTTATTCTATTTGTGTGATTATTCCTCTTTTACTTTGTATGTTATTTCTGGATAAAGAATACTGAAAGCTTGAACTTCATCAATAACATATATTGCTATAGCAGGAAGTAAGATTATAAGTCTCATAATGTTGTTCTAGTCAAGTTTTGTTTTTACTGAAGTTTAATCCGGTGTACTTACTGTGCACCTAGATGATTATCAAGTTAGATTAGTATTTAATGTCCTTAAATATTAGAATGAGTGGTGCTTAAACAGTCATCTAAAGTAGTTTTGAGGTGAAATTAGTTACAGAATTCAGTACATTATTATACTTTCTGTGAAGCAGGTAATCTTACATGATACAAAAAGTCATCTCTGTACATTAGTGTAAAATTGTCAGTGTGAAGTGTATATGAAAACAAATGTCGAAACATTTCACATAATTTTTTCCTATTAAAGAGTGCAGCCCAGGCTTCTCTGAAGAAATACGGTGTTGGCACTTGTGGACCCAGAGGATTCTATGGTACTTTCGGTGAGTAACTTTCTTTGATCTGCCTTTAAAGACGTTCAGACTAGTTTGGTAAGCCAGCCAGAATAGTCCAATATATAAGCAAAAAGTTATTCCTGTTGCTCTGAAGAACAGTTACCCTCTAACACACATTTTACTGTAGTTGTTGAGGATTGGCAGTGTTTATTCTTTCTGGCTTTGTTTCTTATTATTTTATCTCTTTTCTTACTCTTTCTGATGCTGGTCTTTGAAAAGAATTGCAAAGTTTGTAATCTGTTCTAGTTCTGGTAACCATAGTAGAAAGAGAAAATAAACGTATTAGAATTTATTAATTCACAGTGACTGGAAGTGTAAATATAAGCGCGAATTAAACTTTCTACGGGCACCACAAGGGGGCAGTCTGATTTCTGTGATAGCTACTGTCACCACTTCTGGGACTACTAATGCTGTAGCTAGGATGAAGTTTTCCTCTACTGATAAGCTGTGCAGGTGTTACTAAGAAAAGGGTTTGCTTTTGTTCTTTTTAATAAGTTGCAAGTTCTTAAGTATTGAGTTCTGGACATAGTTCTTCACAGGCACTTATATTTTTAAATATTGCATGTAAACCAAAGAGTTAAACATTAATTGCTGCACAGTTAGAGGCTAAAACCATCAAGTTTGTGAACTTTCTAGTCTCTCCCCAGAGATGACGGAATTCAGAGGGGGTCTATACTCAAATTATTTCATAGAGTTAACTTCCTGTAGCCTTGATTTGAATTCAAAACAAGCTTGAGCTTTTCTTGATTAGTCAGACTAGTTCCAAAAGTGATTAACTAGTTGCTATGCCTAATTTGATGTGGTATAAGTCTATCTATCAGAACAGGGTTGAATCTTGATATCAATCTAAGAAATTGATCTATTTTCAGTTTTCTAAATCTAATTTCAGTTAGCTTGTTTCTAGTAATTGTTTGAAGCAGACAGGTTAATTTTTTTTTTTTCCTGATAAGTGAGAGATTCTTCGGGTTGTTTCCTGCCTTCTTTGGAGGGCTAATCCTAAAATGTAAACTATAGCTTTTGCTATTCATTGGCTCCTGAATTTTTTCAGTAAGTGCTCCATTTCACAAAGCAAGGAATCTAATCTATGGCATTGCTACTTGACATCAGTAGAGAAGAAGTGGTATTATACTCACCCATTTGAGGTATCATCTTTTACACAAAAAATCATGGAGGCTCCATTTTAAATGGTAGACCGACTCTTGCTTTGCTTGTTCAATCTGAAATTGTCTTCCTGTTTTCACCTAACTTAAAACATTTAGTGTGGCAGGATTATGAATCTATGAGAAGAAACATCATTGTGTCATTTTTTGCATCATTGTGTGCCTTAAACATTTCACACATTTTTTCATGTACTGGGACTTTGGTAAATGGGTCATGTTCTGTGCAAAACTATACACAGTTTCCTCTTACATTCCTATGTGGAAATTAACTGATGGTTGTTTGTTGTTACTGCTCAGATTTATCCCCTCTTTGGAGCTGATATTTCATGTAAATATTAGAGATCTCTATTTGAAATGTAGATACTGTGTTGTAATTTATTTTGAATGGAGATTTGGTTCTTCATATCTATGCCACTTTGAAGGTAATGAATAGATTTAGTGAGTCCCTTGTAAGACATTTTTTATTTTGTCTAGTATCCCTGAAATATGTATCTGTGCCTTTATCCTGTAACAAGCATGAAATATTTGTGTGTTTACATATACCTGCTTATTTGTGGGTATTATCTCCCTAATTCTCATTTCTTTTCTTTTTGACTTCCATGTGAGCATGCATTAAACAGGCATTTCATAACAGTTATTAACAATATTAGCTTTATTAACATTTCATAATTGCACAGAAAGCTGTTTCAGTGTTGTCTCCCTCTGTGCAAATGTACTTCAGGTGGTGTTTGCAGTTTCATTTAAGCTAGGCTAATCGAAGTGGAGTAATCAGACTAAAGCAAATCATTGCAATAAAGGAGAGTCAGATAGTATTTGGATTTTATCACAATGAAACCTTAATATTGTTTTAGCACTTTTCAACCTCATGGTTAAACAAAGCATTCATACCCATATGTAATGAGTGCATGTCATTTTGAACTTACATGTTCTTGCCCTTGGCAAAATTTACTTAGGTTTGCAAAACTCTTTTCTGTAGCACAAACCTGAATATATTCGTTATCTGCCCTTCCTGACAATACTTGTTTTGCCCACTGTTTTTTACCTAGACCTTGCTTAGAGTAATGGTGGTTGTTCCTGAGTAAGGCTCAGTGAGAAGGATGCGCATTCTGATTTTGAACAGTGGTTGTCTTGTCATCTTTTTCACTTAAATTGTGTGAGTGGTCACTCAGAACATTTTTCTTCATTAGGTATCAATAGCTGACCACAAAAAAACCAGTAGTTCAGTTCTTATTTCCCCTGATTTTTTATTCTCTACTGATGAGGCTTCAAAAAGAAACACTTTGGACTGAATGTTGTTTATATTGCGTATTTTAAATGCTGTGTGGCCAGTGTGTTGTTTTCAAAATTTTCTTATTGGTGATCTTTGTTGGACTTTTCTTTCAATAAATCAAAGGTCATCCCACCTGTTTGGAAGCCTGATTGAAGATTGTTTATTGATTCTGAAGTCCATGTAGAAATGACACAAGAAAAAGACACAAATATTCTGGAAATGGACTATTTGCAATCTCAATCAGAAAGAAGATGAGAATTCCAGTCAGTATCCTCCCATCTGAAGTCTTTGGAGAGGAAAGGCTATTCTAGATATCCCTGAACATTTGGTATATCTAGTGTATCAAAATAATAGAGTGCAAAAGAAAAGTTCCAAATAATGAATGGTTAATTGTTTTCATTTAAAAGCAGTGGGAAAACCAATTTCTTTCTGGTCCATTTTTTAATGCCCAGGTAAACATTAGGAAAGGATTGTGAGGATTTCTATTTTGCGTGCTATGGATAAAATTGTTCTTGCTGTGATTGGAGGCTGTTGTTTGAATAAATACCCTTTCCTTTAAGTAATAAATACGTCAGATGGCTGTGTCCTTTTGGGGAAAGATTATGCTAGATATGTTTAGTATGGCAAAATTGGGATTTATACAATATCCTTCGTTTCTGCACCCTTTCTGTTGGTGTCTGGTCAGAAAGAGCCAACACTAACATAACCATGCCCCACAGTCTATTGGAAGAATCTGTACATATAACTGATGTTGCTTTATTTGATTTTAGTTTCAGTAAACTTCCAGTAATTGCAAAAAGGTAACACATGGCCACAAGTGGTCTTTCAAATCACACAGTAATGAACGCTATTTGCATTTTGATCTTATTTATTTCCAGTTGACAAAAGGCATAATTATCTGTCTATTGGTAGCAGAAGCAGATAGTGGCAAGAGTGTTAGACAATGAAAATAGCAGTTTGTCTGATACAGATTATTTTGCTTTGGCAGAATACTTAATGTTGTGGTTAACTTTCTGCAGCAATAATCCAATCACCATATGGTATTACAATTTTTAGTATTTTAATTTTTGATATGCGTCACTTTGACCAAATTGGTTTGGGAAATGGTGTGTGTTTGATTGGGTCAATGTATCTTAAGAGTGAATAATCTCTGGCTTGGAGGTGTGACCTTTTCAATGGGTTAGAGTGTGTTCAGGAAATTGTTTATGACTTGTAGTCTGACAAGAGCAGTATTCTGTTATAATGATAGCTGTGTTTATGTAGGGGAAGCATCAGCTTGGAAGGACTGATGGTTTGCCAACAGGACCTCATTAATTGCTCTAAATTACATAATTTGTTTCCTGACTGTACTAACTGTGCTCTCTAGTCGCAGTCCAAGAAAGCTGCAAAATTTTTGATCTAGTCACAAGTAGATTTTAACAACTTTGGTGTAAGAACATTAGAGAAGCATGTTGCATAAATATTTTCAGATCTGTCAAAACTTGTGATTAATAACAAGTGACTTGTCAGTTTAAGTGAAGCTGGAATTGTTGCAACCGAGTTTTGGGAAGTTACTTGTTTTAATACTATTTCTACACATAAATGTTCTGTTTGCTTCAATTAGATGATTTCTAAAAGTAATGACAGATTTTTTTATATGAAAACAAGATAGCTATCTAATAGATTTTTGATTTTTCTCTCAAATAGATGTGCACTTAGAATTAGAAGAACGGCTAGCAAAATTCATGAGGACAGAGGAAGCTATTATATACTCATATGGATTTGCAACAATTGCCAGTGCTATCCCTGCATATTCAAAGAGAGGGGACATTGTGTTTGTGTAAGTATTGTTTTCTAATTGTTTTCTTCTTATTTTAATGGTTGCTAAACATTTTGTTGAAAATGTAAAAATATTGCTAGTTTTGATCAAGTAGTACATTTTGTAGTACAAAGTTCAAATATTTTTTCTATGCCAAATATTACAAATGAGTTACTGCATTCATTGTGAAAGCTCAGATGTGGGCACTCGGCTGCAAAAGAAGCATAATAACTTGTGCATTCAAACACTAACATAATTCTAATAATTAATTTTCTTCTTAAATGATACAGTTACACTTGCTTTTCTCCTGTCTACTGCTGGCTTTTCACCTTTCTTCCAGGAGAGCTGGAGGTGAAAAGCCTCTCATGTCTATTTGCAATGGATTAGTTGGATAAATATTGTTGTATATTAAAATAACAGAACAATAGCTATGCAAAAGCAAATAAATTATTTGGCAGGTCCAGTATCTGGTACCTAAAAATAGCTAGTCATGATTTGTGTAGGGAAGATTCAATAGCTGAGAGAAGCAATGTAACAGTACTCAATTTACTGCGCCACAGAGGGTTTGGATTTAGTAAGAGTTGATGGATTTTTTGTGTCCTCTGATTCTTTCAGTACCTTAGGTCTTTAATATCCTCAGTGTTTCTATGACATGCAAATGGTTAGCTTGAACATTTTATGAAAAATATGAAGAAATACCAGTTTCAAATATAATACCTACTAATTTCTATCAATGAGTTTGATTTTTAGACAGGGATTTTCCCCATGCATTTTTCCCCTGGAAGCAGGGAGTGAGTGTCAATGTGGGGCTCAGCTGCCTGCTGTGGTTAAATTACAGCACAATGGTACTTTTGTATTTGTCTGCCAAAATCTCTCTTTGGTGCTCTCTTTTCTAAGTGCAAGGCTTGAAGCCTATTTGACCTCTTTACAGAAGTTCTTTCATAATTTAATAATGTTTTTTGATTGTCTTTTATAATCTTCTGGATCAGTGTTTTTGAGACAAATGCCCAGACTGTGCACACGCTACTCAAGGATGCCACTGTACCCACCCTGGATTTGGTTTTCTCATGCTGTTTCAGCTTCTTGTTGACAAAAGATCTAACTGTATTTGAAAGCAGTTGAAATTACTGCATTTACAGGTTTGGTTTAGTTGCCACTTATACAAGATTAATTCACCTAAGCAGCTGTGAAATTGCATACACCAGCATAGTTGCAAATTTGCTGTTCCAGCACTTAAAAATGGGGGATAGTTCTTTGGATATGGAGATATTATTTCTCAAAGGACATTAAAATGGACATTTTGAGTATTTGGAGGACTACAGTAAATGTTACAGGCACATCTTTGCCCTTTTTTCCTAAGACCCAGAGCAAAGTGAGAGATTTCTGGGATGATTACTGGGGTATTTTACATGGTGCATGTAATGCCGTGCTCAAACTACTGTCACATACAAACAAAAGGATGAGTGTAGATTTAAAAAAAAAACAAAACAAAAAAACCTGCTGGCTTCCTTTTAGTGTCTGTAATTCATATAAAATTGAGAAGCTTTGAAATGAGTTTTCAAAATGTCAGTAAAATATACAGTGCTTTAAAACATCTGGTTTTGTCTACACCTAAGTACGAATATCTGCTCAAAAGAAAGACATGTCCTAATAGCCAGCTTTCTTTGAATAATTGCACTATGTTTAACAAACTTAGAAGGGTTTGCTATATTTACAGAGATGAAGCTGCCTGCTTTGCTATTCAGAAGGGATTACAAGCATCTCGTAGTAACATCAAGTTATTTAAGCATAATGATATGGCTGACCTTGAACGACTGTTGAAAGAACAAGAGACTGAAGATCAAAAGGTACCATTCCTTTGAAGAAATATTTGTACTCTTTTGTGCCACCTCCCCCACATTTTTTACTGAGTCGTGTAATTGAATGGATGTAGTGTTTAAAGGCAGTTACTTGGTTTTCATAAGTCTCTATTGAGCAGTTAATGTTGCTTATTTAATTAAGATAATTTTTTTAAGAAAAGTATTTATTTATTTGCATTTGTCTTCTTAACTCTTTGAACTGAGCTCACAGGCATTAGTAGCAGGGAAATATCTTTACAGGCAGATGACTGATGTGAGATTGTGAGATAATGTTTTTCTTTTCTTTAAAAACTATTGAAGAGTTTTTTTTGTATCTCTGAGAAATTTATGTAACTGTATTTACCTAATATGTCATGCAAGTTAACTATCACTTTGAATGCCACACTGTAAAATCAGCACAAAAATGGTAGTCCTTTATAGAATGAATATGGTTGATTTTTTTCCCAGTCCTCCCCTATCATGCATTCAACTCTTAAGATGTTCTCTCTCGTGAAAAATTTGACTCAGTTTGATGGCTTTCTTCTCATTCTAGTAGTAATGCAAAAGGATGTCCAAAAGCAATTACTAAGATCAGGATCAGAAAGTACAGATAACTTGATTAGATGAGTTTTAAAAGAATTAACTGAGTAGCTATAATGATTGTATGGTTTGTTCGCAGAATGCTGGCAAGTTACAGACAATTTAAAGAATGTTGATTTTGTGTTAAGACCTAGAAAAAGTAAAGTAGATAAACTGTCCATCAGCTTTACATCAGTGTAAATCACTAACAGATCTGATTATTAGCAGATTTATAGATAACGTACTAGTTAATGTACCTTAATGGAAAATACATTTTGTCAGATAATCTTTACATGAGTTTTTAGATGTGGTTTTCAGACTAATTTGTCTAACACATTTGGTTTGTTAAAGCAGAGTGCTTTGAGTTAGCTACATGGTTGAAGTTTCTTACTGTAATTAGCTGAATGTGAACATATAATTGGTAGGCATGAGCTTAATACAGACCATGTGTGTCTAACTAAGACATACTGACTAGAAAAGGGTAGGTCATATCATTAGAGTTGGTAAGGCCTGTAGAGGCTACTGTGACTAGTTTGGTACCTACCACATAGAAAAATTAAATAGATGTTTCTGAATCTTTTTACAAGAACTGAAAAATGAAAGAAGTGTGACTAAATATCCTTGATCAGAAAATAATAATAAGTTTCAAAGTAAATAACAGAGGAATGGCAATTTAAAACAGCAAAACTGAAATTATACCAATTGAAATTTAGCAGAAACAAGTGAGAAATATTTTAATGGTCTGTATTGTATCCAGAGATCAGACAAGGACTTTGTAACATGAGTGTTATGAATACTTTTGCATTGTGTTTTACAAAGGCAGTACTTGTAAGAGGTTTGTGCTGCATTGTGAATCCTGGTGCTCAAAACACTTGTTGAAATGTCTTCCAAATGCTTAGAATAATGATGAGTATAATAGGGACCAAGATTTGCAGTATTTGTTCTGTAGTTACAGTGGTTGAATTTTATTCCTAAAGTTCAAATGGATTGGTTATGATTTGTTGCAAAACAAGTCCTCTTAAATCATGTGTAGAAGTCAAAAGCTTTGAAATTATTACACAATAAATAAAATAAAAGACAAAATAGTCCAGTGAGTAATTTCAACTTCTCTTACAGATGAAAAATACTAAGTATAAATTTAAGTAACAACTTATTTGAAAAAGTGGCCATTCCCTTCAGAAAAATCTTCCCTATAAAAAAATATTTAGAGCTTTTCTTGTTTAGTAACAATTAATATAAGCTAAAACCATATCTTTCCCTGAAGAATCCTCGCAAGGCCCGTGTTACTCGAAGGTTTATTGTAGTGGAAGGATTGTATATGAACACAGGAGACATTTGCCCTCTTCCAGAGTTGGTAAGTGGTTTTAGTTTGCCTTTTTAACCACATATGAAATATGTGGCTAGTGAAATAGTAGTGTTGCCTACATAGAAAAGTTCTGCGTCAGTTTTTTTGTTTACCCTCCTGCTTTCTCACATGTTCATGAAATGGTGATTCCAAACCTTAACCTTGTTTTGAAACTTCTGATTGGGTTACTGAAGCTATTGACACTTAAAAATAATGTCTGGCTGTGGTCTTAATTTTTATCCTGTAAATATAGTGTGTTTTCAGCTACACTGTATGATACAAAGAAACCTTCACAGAAATGTCAGAAATAGTGACTTCAAGGAAAATATTTGCTATTCAGCATAAAATGGCTTTTTATGCAGGCTTTATTCTTGTAGATGATGGAAGAAATGGTGTAAGAATGCATTGTCTTGAAAGTACTTGAGAACCTATTAAAAACAAGAGGATTTTTAATATATGAACATTTATGAAATTTGTTTTAGTATTACATGGTGGAATAATTTTGAAGGCTTTTAAAATGTCATAATGACAGAACAGAATTCTAGAACTAACTTTTATGCAGTATTCAGAATGCTATCCTTGTCTTTCTTTACCTTATCTCCCCCATGCACTTTGTCACCAAATTCTGAGTTGTATTCTATAAAAATTCCTTTGTTTTAGATAAAATTGAAGTATAAGTACAAAGTTAGAATATTTTTGGAGGAGAGCCTTTCCTTTGGCGTCCTTGGACCACATGGAAGAGGAATTACTGAGCACTTTGGAATAAATGTATGTACTTTTTTGTTGTGAATGAGAGATTTGTACAGAAGCAAGTTGTGCAATTGTTTCCTAATACCTGTGCCATTAACAGATACTTTTGCAGTGTACAGTAAACATTTAAATATAGGGGGGTTTAAAATCTGTATATATTTAAATTTATTATTTTTTTAACAGCCCAGAGCTTTCAGGTCTTGGCAGTCTTTCATGTGCTCACTTGAAATAGTTTTACTTATCTTAAGTGACAAAGATAACAAACGATTTTTTACAATGCATAATTCTATCCTTTTTTTGGACACTCCATGCGATAATGAATACTGTCTTTTCCAGCAACTTACACTTGAAAGTGTCACTCTGGCACAGAAATATTTGAGGTATTGGAGTAAATAAGAAAAATCCTTGCAGTGTATAGCCATCCTATTTTGCTCTATTGCCTTTTACTCCAGTGGGGAAAAATAAGATAAAACTTCTGATGGTTCTTTGAAAGGTGTTATTATAGTACTTTACCAGCAGATTCAGCCAAACTATTTTTCCAAGGGTCTACTTTTCATGGTGTTTATAAAGCTGAGGAGTACTTTGGAAATCCAAAATGTATTCCTTGCAGGTGCTTACTACCACAGTCCCCTGGGCTGGGGGGAAGGGAGAAATGCTTTTTGTTTGCCAGTGTTTGTGTGGAGCATCTTTCACTTCATTCTCCCAGTGTCTGTATTCAGCTTGGAAGTGAAACAACAAATTCAGAAAATTAATTCTGTCTTCCCCTTTGTCCTGTTATTTTCACTTAATACCAAACTTGGAAAAGAGAAACTTAATTTAGAAAAGGAAACCGTGTTACTGTGATACATGCCAACTGCTATCTGATTAGCTGATAGCAGCTAATTACCTGTGTTAAATCCTTTCTAATTAATTGACTTTTACATTAAATTCATTTACAGACAAAATCTTTTGAAGCCTGGCAAAAGAAAATATTTGCAACTAACAAGTGAAATAACACAATTGGGTCTCTAATGTTCAGACTATTTTAATTAGATTTATGCCTGATTTTTATCCTATTCTACCTCTTAATGACTACATAGGGCTACTAATACTCTTGAAGGACACTGACACACTGACTGCATTGTAGAATTGTCACCAGCATCTAAATAATTTATTTTATCTGTTTGTGTGCTTCACATTGCAATGCCTGGAAGGGAGAGATAGTATGCAATTTTTTTACAGATCCATAAATCTCAATTTCTCAAATGTCTCTTCTGTATTGATTAAAGTGATTATTTCAGTTGTACTTTCACTTTATTATGTCATGGTTTGGTGGATCTTTTCTAGTATTCATGGTAACATGAAACAAGATGTATCGTTAATAACTTATAGTCTTGATGCAATCAAAAGCATCTTTTAATTATTTGTTAATTTAACTGACAGATTGATGATATAGATCTTATTAGTGCAAACATGGAAAATTCATTGGCTTCTATTGGTGGATTTTGCTGTGGAAGATCTTTTATTATTGACCATCAGGTAAGACAGATCTCTTTATAAATAATCTGGCACTATTAGTTACTTATATGTGAGAGTTAATTATTAATACCCATTTGCAAGTAGGATATAGATGATTATGCTGTATTTGATTCTACACAGAAACTGGTTCCTGTGAAATATTGTAGATAAATTGGGGACCTCATTTTAAATCCTTACATGTACCTGTAGGTCTGGAGGAGAGGTTTTTAATATGTACATGAATTAACATTTAAAACATTGTCTACATTATTATTATTTTTTCCTTTTCTCCCATAGCGATTGTCTGGTCAAGGCTATTGCTTTTCTGCCTCCCTACCTCCTTTGTTAGCTGCTGCTGCTATTGAGGCTCTGAATATTATGGAGGATAATCCAGGTACTTAATTCAGGAAAATGTTATCCTTCAGTCTTTCTTCACCCCAAACTAATATCTTGTCCTTCTCCCTACTTTTTACTCCCACCTTTTTACTCTGATGTCCTCTTATTTTTTTGCTAATTAATTTTACCTGCATGTTTTTTCTTAATGTAATTTCCCACTCTGCTTTTCTTCTTCAGTGTTTCCATCTCTTTCCGTCTTGTAGCTGAAAATAAGCAAGTTATTTGAGGCTAAGAGGGACACAGATGGTTTTTAAAAAGCAAATAAGACATTTTTATTCTGCTGTTTAGATCAGTAATATGCCTCTTTGCCTCTTCCTTAAAAACATATTTCTTCTGCATAAATGAAGGAAGAGAAAGTTAAACAGAAACAAATGATAATATATTTCCTCAGGACAGAGCAACCCTCTCCTTTCCACTTGCACTATGTAATTAGGGTTTTTCTCCTTCTCTAGTTAAGCATTCAGGCAAGAATCTCAGGAATGATCAGGGGGCAAACTGCCTTTGACTTGCAGGACCAGATACAGAGTATTTCTCTAAAGTTGGCAGACAGAAGATTCTGCTCTGGGAGTCAACTAGAAAAGCCCTTAAAGATCATGTAGTTCCAACACCTTGCCATTGGCAGGGATACCTAGATCAGGAGCTCCATCCAACCCGGCCTCGAAAAATCTTTGCTGACCAGGAATTGAGGCCAGACCACAGCAGTACCAAATCCCAGCCACTAGAACATCTAGTGGGAAAGAAGTTTTTTCGGTTTTGGTTTTTTTTAATTTATATTTATGGATATTTATAAATTCGACCTGCCATTTCAATCCCATTACAAAGTGTTTGTGTCATCCCTTCCATATGGTCATGAACAGCAACAGCTCCATATGCAGCTGGAGTAATGAGATACAGGGAAGTAGTGCATTTGTCAGGACTTAAAAGCTTGTCATTTCCTGGCAGAAATAGGAATCAGGAACATTAAGAAGAGTAGTAAAGAGAATTATTAAGTTCAATGGATATACATACTTAGTTCGGTTCCAAATGCTATATTTGAAATCTTCGAGAAATGTAAAGTATTAACAGGAAATCTAAGCCTTTTCTTTTTCTGTTTTGTTTTGGGGTTTTTGTGTTGTTGTTTTTTTTTGTTGTTGTTTGTCTGTTTGTTTGTTTTATGGGTTTTTTTGTTTTGTTTTTGTTTTGTTGTTGTTGTTGTTTGTGTATAGACATTTTTCAGACCCTCCGTGCTAAGTGTGAACGGATTCACAAAGCTTTACAGGGGTAAGTGTGGGGTTTGGGGCTTTTTGGCTTTTATTTGGCTATGCCTTTATAATGTGAACTTTAAAGAAACTCTTCTTGCCCAAATCTGTTTCTGGTTTTACAGATGTTTAGACTGGGATATATACACTCAATTGTGTATGTATTAAAGGAGAAAAATTATTCTTTCCCAACTGTCCCTGTTGTGCTACTAAAAAGAGTCCAATACCTCCCTCAATGCCTTAAGGCTATTGAAGAAGGCTTCAATCTCTTACACATTAAAATTGTTAGGAGAGTGTGATAGGTCTCAATGACACAAAGTATTGATAAGCATTTTGAAAATAAAATAAACAAATAAAAGCATTTGGGATGAAGCTTAGCGGATACTCTTTCAGAGAACTCAATGCACCTTTCAATCACCTTGAATACAATACTGTTCCTACATATTTGATTGAATGTTAAAATGTAATAAAGTACCCATTGTTCTGGAGGCACAGAGAAAATGGCTAGAATTTATCTGAAAAATAAGTTTTAAAATTTCCTAATACTTTCATGTTTTAAATGATGACTATACTCACTAAGCTTTTTTATCTGTCATGTTTTGATACTAAAAAGATGGCAGAAATTTCTGTGATGTTCAACAGCCATTTAATGTGCAGTAATAGTGCAATTGTATTTTACAATTCTTCTTCTGCAACAATTTTGTGTTACATATTACAGAAAGTAATAACTTTCAAAAACACTCATACAAATCTGTAATGCATGATAGATTATATTAACTTCTTTGGAATGATACTACCATAAAATAAGCCAGATCTTCTTAAAATATATATTAGGCAAGCTTATCAAAGTCCAGAAATCAAAATGACACCTGATAGTTGATATGTATTTATGTGGCCTGTTAATTTTGGGGACCAGAGGTCTTGCTTGGATATTGAATACAGATTTTTGGATGGGAATAACTCAATCCTAAATGTGTGTGATGTGTCAGGACAATGACAATCAAATTCAGTCAAATTCTAGAAACCCAGTTAACAACTGTTCTTATGTACAGATAAAGGAACAATTATAGTCCTATAACTAAATTTAGAGAACTGTCTGACTGACAGATGATGCTGTAAAGAGTTTCTACAAGAAATAATATAAAATCATAAATCGTGACAAATCTTGCAAAACCCCCAGCAGAACATTTGTTCTTTGTTATATCTGAAGTGATAAAAAGGTGACTTGACCCAGCTAGCTGGGTTTTTATCAGCAAATTACAGGCCTAACAGACATTTCTCTTACATCTTCATAAGGACTCTTTAAGAATTTCTGATTTATTAATCCTTTTTGCAAAAGGATGAGTAACTACTGTTATACAAACTTACTGAAACTCCTTAGAAAAACATTTGCTTGGTAACTTTATGTAATGCAAGCTGAAATGCACATATGTTTTGTCTGCATTAGTATCAGTAAAGTGAAATATCCATCTTTTATCAGCACCTAGAAAGGAGAAATGCTTATCTAGAATTTCAAAATGTCTTCAAGTAGGATGTACATCAAAGGCTTTTTATTTGTTTTAGGATTTCTGGTTTAAAAGTAGTAGGAGAATCTTTTTCTCCAGCATTGCACTTACAGTTGAAGGAGAGCTCTGGATCTCGAGAAAATGATGTGAAGTTACTCAAAAGAGTTGTGGATTATGTAAGTGTCACCATAGTAATTAAAATATATCAATACCTTTGAATGTTAATAATGAAGAAAGGGTAGGGAGGCTTCTTGGGTAACTTGTTGAAAGGTCTTGCGGGAATGCTGCAAGAAACTTAGTTTCTGTGCTGATTATATGGCTCTGTTAAAGATCACCTTCTAACCATTTCTTGCCTGACTACAAATATATATTAGACTATTTACTTCAGGAAATAGTTATTTCCTATTATCTATTTTAATGCTCAAATCTGCATATAAACTGTTGTATAAACTTTTATGTTAATAAGAGGAGTGTTCTGGAGGTGCATTTTTACCATTTAAGGTCAACTTTTGCTTCTTAGTCCATGAATTTGCTTTTTTTATGTGTGAACAATCTCATATTCTATATATAGTATTTTTCCCTTCTTCAATACACATTGGTTATTTTTGTCCCACATGAAGAAGTGAGGGTGGATATATCTTTATATATCAGGTAGCAGGTAAACAAGGCTACGCTAGAAAAAGAAATTCTGAAGTTAACTTCCTTGAAAATATGCTTAAATAGGATTTAAATGCCTGATAAATCTGGTATGTTTGCCTGATTACATGGAGGTGAAAACTAAAGGCACTGCATCCTAAACTGTTTTATGTGTTAAAGCTGTATTGAAATTAAGAGATGATTTTGCACAACCTTCACAACCTCCATTTGGGAAATAACTTGCATTTATCTTTACACCAGATTAATAGAAGTTAGTGATATGTGTTTGGTGATCAAAAGGATATGCTATCAGAAATTCCCAGGTTGACTTGCTGTATTTTTTTATTTGTAGTGCATGAATAGTGGTATTGCATTAACACAGGCTCGCTATTTGGAGAAAGAAGAAAAATGTCTTCCTCCACCCAGGTTAGCAGAAAGAAAACGTGTTACATGATTTTTTTCTTTGGCTATGGCCATATCTTTTCCATACAACAATAGAGTTCTGTTCAATAGAGTGGATTAAATAGTTGGTTCTTGGAAAAATGGGAGAGGCTCCAGTTTTGAGGTATATTTTTAGTGACTGTTACAGCATGCTAGAACCATGAAATAACTGTATCAAAACTACCTGGATCTTGGGGATCAGCATGTAGCCTGTTAGCAGGCACATTTCCATGAGGAAAATTACTCTTACTCTGTAGGTAAAAAAGATAACAGATCTCCGCAGTGTGTATGGTGGGGTGGCAGAGCGGGGGCAAAAAGTAGTCTGATCACCTCTGTTTAGTCATATGTCTTGTTCCTGGTTGAATTTGAATTTGTAGTAATTTCCCTACAGATAGTGATCTTAATGTGTTGAAATTAGTACAATACAATTCTAAGCGGAAGGTTAGGAGTAAAGTTTACTCTCTGTGTTCTGTTTTTTTTTTTTCCTAGTATTCGAGTAGTGATAACAGTGGAACAAACAGAACAAGAACTGGACAAAGCTGCATCACTTCTTAAGGAAGCTGCACAGTCTGTGTTGAATTAGACTGCCGTTTTTGGATTCCTCTTTCCCCACACTATCAGGATAAGTGTTTTACACTGTACAATGACTTCCAGATTCTTCCACTGATGGCATTGAAAGCTGACTAACAAAATTGTTCCAGAGTGATACAAATGCAGTGAGCGGAAGAATGCTGAATTTTGGAGTTAGTGAATGACAGTGTTGTTCCAGTTCAAACTCTACCATTTACTCACATTAGTTAAAATGGGATATCACTACTGAATTCATGACTCTTTCATAAGTTAGTACAAAGTTTTAAATTTATTTCCTCAAACCCTTAAATGTTCTCAAAAATGTGTATAAACATTCAGTTTCACCCCAAACCATGTCAAATGTGTTGTTTTCTCTCCATTTTCTTGGAATGTGGGAACTTCAAATTAATTTCAATTATCCCTCCCCACCTTCCAAATGAAAATACACTGTTCCTAATATTACCAAAAGGATAACACATTAAGATATAATTTTGTGCTATATTATGTCATTTATTATTGAATTATAAGAGGGAGGACCTTCAATTCTTTTTGTTTATATATCTTTCTCTAACCATTTTTGGCAGCCAGGTTTTAAGAAAGCCTGGCCAGAGAGTAAATTCATATCAAATACTATTTAATTTTTGCATTCCATGTGTAATTATATGCATGTTTGATATTATGGGTGAGGTTTTTCGTACTATTATCTTTAAAATATCTAAATTCAAATGTCTGAATTGTGAAACTGCTGTAATTCCAGTATAGTATGTTCAGATAAGGGTGCTTTGTACCAGTCTTGAAGAGGAGTAATAGGCAACATGGAAAATTAACCAAGGTTTTGAAACAGCAACTAAATACTAGCTTAATCAAACTACTTTTAAGCATAAAAATGATATGTGCTTTGTTTTATCTGTAAACATCTATGCCTTAGAAGGGAAGACTCGCAGATAGCTACTAAGAGTTTAAATGGTACAAATACTACTTAAACATAAGTCAATCTGTGCACATACAATTCCCAAGTAACTTGAAATTAATGTTTGGAGGTTGTGCTGTCAGGATTTTAAGTAAGCACAGATGGACATTACATATATGGACACTTTACTTCAATCAGGAAACTGGTAAGGAAGTACGTATCTTTTTATAAAACAGAAAATGCAGCTTTTTATCTCACAATTTTGCTTTAAGAACGCCTGTCTGAAATTTTTGTATTCTGCCTAGTATGTGTTGAGTTGTTTTGTACTTATGTGCCTTTTTGGTTGCTACTACAAGGATTATATAGGACTATTTTTGAGAAACATCATTGTTAAATATAATCATGTTTGATTCAGATTTTTACTTACACAATTGGATTTTGTAGCATGGTCGATCATATATTTTTAAATATTCTACATTAGGTAAGCATAGTCTATGCTGCCTCCAGTTCACAGAGACTGTTTCTATGCTGGTTTTCAAAACTTTTCATCTGTGTATGTTCAGATAGAATACCTAAAGTTGTGTTGGGGCGCTTCTGTGATTGTTGCTTGACATTGGAAATAGTCAAATCATTATCTGTGTAATGTAGTAAAAGAAATCCCAGTGTGAAAGAGAATCTCTATTCCAATGACATTTATGTTTTCTCTGTTAACCGTGAATAAAAGCCAGTGAGAAGCCAACAATTTAGAAGAGAAAAAAATGTGCAGAATGAGACTGACTCCCATTTTACAGACTGGAACTGAAGGGCAGAATAGTCATCTTGAAGACCCTCAGAGACTGAAAGAAATGGAAATTAAATGTTATGGCTCTACTTCGAGCTTTTGAGCCATTTTTGGCTGGATAATTGAAACCTGCAAATTTGAGTGAAGTCAAGCCTTTGATGTATAAATTTGGAACAAATGAGGTACTTTGATTACAGTGTAGCATATTAAATGGTTTTGGAGTTAAGATAAGCCTGGGAAGGTAAGCAAATAACCATTGGCATTGAAATCCTAAATTGCAGAATCTGTATTTAATTCTCTCATTTTATTTTAGGTTGTCTGCAAATGGGGTAGAATTTTTGTTGCGCTTAGAGAACTAACAAAAATTTTTAGATACATGGATTTGTGTTGTTATTTTTGTTTTTGGTTTGTTGGGTTTTTTTGCTTTTAAATGAAGTGATGACAGCTAAGGTAGAAGCAGAGTGAAATTTCTAGCAATTTCAAATCTGTGACTAAGTAATTCTGATGAAATAAAAGTCAAAAAATGTTGCTAAGAAATGCCATAATCTGATTCATTTGACAAACACATACCCACCATTAAAACATTGGTAAAAATGCCTTTGTCCTTTTTTATTGTTTACCAGTATGTAGGAAGGAAGCATTTAGATCACAGTAAAGTGAATACCTGGGTTGATAGCAGCTGAAGTGCTCTTGTAATATATATTTTACTGACAGGTGATATGCATGGTCTCTGTAAGAAATTAAGACACTTACGAGATGTAACTGGTGGAGAGGGAAATCCCTGGTCAGTTTAAGCATATCTGGCTCCTCTTCATTTTGACTTTTTTGATAAATATCTTTGTCATGGCAAGCAGATGAAGAAATGGGTGGCTCTGGGGAAAAATGTTGATTGGGGTTAGGGAGACAGCAGGTGATTCTGATTAAACTTCTGACATTTGAAAAATCAGAAGCCTGTTAAGGTGCTTAACTGCCCAGTGCTCTTGGCTGATAAATATATTAACAAATCTGTGTTAGTTGCTTTGTAGTTACATTTGGATGAATTGGTATTTTTCCATACATTTCTTCAGATGTGGGCATGAGACTGGAGTTCAGTGTAAACCTATTAAGTAGGATACTGTGAGATGAATCAAACACAAGGACTTTATCCCAAACTTCAAAGTATCTTTTGAAAAGAAATTTTTTTTCAATTAATTTATGTATTTCACTTTGCCACATACTTGGAACACAGTTTCAGCTAAGTGGATAATAAATCCAGTATTTTAAATAGTGAAGAAAAATAAATGTTGTTAATTTTTTTAAATAGACTATTAATATCTGATAGTTGAGAAGGAGGGCATTTTAACTGTAAAATGTTGGTCATTTATTGAAATTGTCATGATGAAACCAATTTTTTACAATATATGAGGACTGGGGTGGACTGGAAAGAATTTATACTTTCAAAATATTTTATATTGAAGAAACATGTCTACATGAAATATATATTCATATTTTAAACAAAGAAATTTATTTTCCTTGAATATTTAAAAATAATTGATCGCTATTTGTGTAGTTTCATGGTTTTTATAGGAAAAACTACAGATGCCTTTTGTGTTTATTATAGTAATCATTATTTTTGGATAGGAGGTGAAATGCATAAGGAGAGTATTAAGAAAGAAAGAGACGTATGGCTGAATAACTTTGATTTTATTTTTTTTTTCACTTTTGAAATATGAACCCAGTCAATGCACAGAATGGTGTACTGTCTCCTTTCTGTCACTCCATCTGGACTTTATTATTTTAAACAGGGTTGTGGAGTGTTGGCATTCACTGATCTATGAAGTTGCTACCACAAAAGTGTCTTGCATCTTAAGATGACTAGAGAAGTGCACATGTAAATGTACAGAGCTGTAAATGCTGCTTAAACAGAGGAAATATTTACAACTAACACAAAGCATTTGTACATTAAACTGTTTCAATGTCCTAATAAAAGGAAATGTCTGGATAACATTTCTTCTAGTGTTTTTATGTTCTTTGGCAGTTTTCATGGTAATAAGGTAACAGGCTTACTATGTCTTGCTGTTGATAGATTTTCCAGATTTTGGTTTCCTGTTCATTATGTACTAGGTAGTTGCAAAATATGTGTAGTAGAAGTCACAGAATCTACTAAATCTGCTGAAGAGAACTTATCAGAGAAGGACAGTTTATACATGTCCAATTTCTAATACTTCGGTAGCACACACTTGCTGGAAACCGCTATTGCAAGCTAGACACTGGACCAGATACAGTTTTGTTGTGACTCAGTATAGAATTTCTGGTGTATCAACAAACTTGAGTTAGGATGACATATGCCCCAACTTTGAGACACTGTTACAGAATAAAATACTGCAATTTTGCCTACCATATTTTATGGATAAGATTTCTCTATTTTCCTCTGCTATTAGAGGTGTTACCACTTAGCTCAGTATGCTGTTTGTATAATGGAGTTGTATTTTCTAGCTGAGGATTCTAAGCTGGCAGAAACCAGTATAAGTATTCGAGTCAAAGGAACAAGTAGAATTGGAAATACGTTTAACTGTTTAACTTACATTTTATGTAGGCCAAAAATAAGTGATTGTCTCACTCTAATCAGCCTTTGTCAGACTGTGCTCCTGTTCTGGTATCCATAATTCCAGGAGGATAAGGACAGATTGGAGAAGGTCCAAAGGAGGACCATAAAGATGACCAAAGGGCTGGAGAACATGCCCTGTGAAGAAAGAAAAACTGGAGGACAATTTTCCAGTTCTTGCAGTGTCTACAAAGATGGCAGAAGCTGTCTTCACAAAAAGCCACATGAAGAATGGAAAGGCAATAGAATCATAAAATATTGCCCTTCCATTCTTCATGGGTTGGGTTGAAAGGGCCCTTGAAGATAATTTTAGTACCAACTGTCATGAGCAGGGATACCTTTAGCTAAATCAGGTTGCACCAGCCTCCATCCATCCTGGCCTTGAACAGTGCCAGGGATGGAGCATCCACAGATTACATGGGCAGTAAAATAGAATAGAATCATTAAGGTTGGAAAAGGACTTCTGAGATCAAGTATATCCTTTGACCAAACACCACCATGTCAGCTAGACCATGACATTAAGAGCCATATCCATTTCTTGAATGCCTCCAGGGATGGTGACTCCATCACCTCCCTGAGCAGTCTGTTCCAATGTTTGGCAACCCTTTTCATGAAGAAGTTCTTGCTGATAGCCAACCTGAACCTCGTCTGCTGCACCTCTTCAAAAACTTGGCAAGCTAGTGAGCAAAGAAAGATGCTTTTCCTCTTGTCTGACAGATGGACCCCATGAACCCCCGGTAGACCTGGTTTCTCAAGGTGAGTCACATGGAACCTGATATGTACAAGTTGCATGGGGAAAGATTTCATCTTTTATGGTGAGGAGAATAGTTAATTACTGGAAAACCACCTCCTCATGGATTATGGGAGATTTTCAAGATGTGGGTGGACAGGATGCTGGATAATTTCATCTAGGCTTCCCTTCTCAGAAAAGGTTGGACCTGATGATCTTTTGAGGCCACTTCCAGGTTGGCCTGTTCTGGGATTCTGTACTGTGACTGTAATTCTGATTGTGATTCCTGTTCTGTGACACTCAGAACAGGAAGTGGAAATAATTTTTCACACTTGGTCTAGTTAAAATTGGATTTTGATTGGAGCAAGCCTTTTGTTGATTACCAGTGTCACAGTAGATGTTGAGAGAGTGTATGAGCAAGACAGTAAGTACAAGTTAGGCTGATGACTGAGAGGATAAAAAAAGGTAATGGAACCATCAGCATTTCCTGATAATGTGAGTGGTGACTTTGAATTCCTCTCATAATTTTTAGTGATTTGGACTCTTTCTGTTCTTTCACATGAGGCGAAGAAATACCTGTTCTCAACAGGTAATTGATGTAAGATCAAAGACTTCTTTTTTGTTGTTTTAACTTTGTCCAGAATTATATTTTTTAACAAACTAGCCTCCATTCTGTGTATCATGTTTGTACTGAGTTAAGATTTGCCTTAGTGTCAATAGTGAATTCACATTCACT